GTGTGTGGGTGGGTGGGTGTCGGTGCGGGTGTGTCACCGTGTTTGTGTGTTGCTCACAAAGAGTTCGGAGCGACGATTGGGTAAGGGACACACTTGAGAATTCCACACATCAATCATAAAGGAAACAATTGCATGCAGGGAATTCAAAAAAGAAAATAAACAGTCGCTGGTGTAAAGAGGTAAAAAAAACGCTAGCTTGGTCTTCGCTCTATTCACACACACACACACTCTACCGCGTGCGGTAGTGTGTGTGTGTGTGTGTGTGTGTGTGTGTGTGTGTGTGTGTGTGTGTGAGTGCGTGTGTGTGTGGGTGGGTGGGTGCATGCAGCCATCAAACCCCCAAATCCACCCGCTCACCATCCACCACCCCACGCAACCGTCATGCTAGTGGCCGATTCATTCAACATGAATGTCATTAACCAAAGGAACAAAAGAGGAATCCGAATCACGAAGAACGAAGGTCAAAATAGAAAAGCACACAGGACTGGGCACCTCACACGACAACATCGAATGGAAATGCGTTGTCCACGCTAATACCGAAGCCCATCACGGAATGAAACAAGTTCCCACGAAGATAACTCTCACAACAAAAGCAATCATCAATTAACCGGATCAATCTTCCGCATCCTATCGCTGCTAACACTTCCCACTTTGAAACAGTGATGACACGGAAGTCAACACACTACGTGGCCACACACAATATACTGGCCACACGCCTTGCCTGTCACGAAACCGAACACCCGCCGGCATAGACGTGTAAAATCAAGGTGGACTGCCATCAATGGGGCGACACACTGGATGGGTCGCTGAAGTAGAAAAGCGGCATGACAGTCGGCTGCCATGGACCGTCGATCAGCCCGAATCGTAGGAAGTGGCTAGCCGGCCCGCACGGCACGTTCCACAGTGAGTGGTCGTGGAAGAAGCCACAGTATTTGTCAACCGCACCATCGCCACCTGCACACATTCACCGCACCGGCCAGCTGCGTTGCGCGCCACGTGGCGAGACAAAGACGTGGACACTCGCTGGTCACCGAAAAATCCGCAAACTCGTTAACCGCACCATCGCCACATCCCCCACATTCACCACACCAGCCAACAGCCCTGCCCGCCATGTGGCGAGACAAACACGTTGGACAATCAGTGGTCGCCAAAGAAGCCGCAGGCCAATCAACCACACCATCGCCATCTCCCACACATTCATCACAGTGGCCATCTGCACTGCGTGCCACGTGGCGGGACACTGACTTTCGACACTCCCTCGTCGCCGAAGATGCCGCAGGCCAGTCAACCGCACCATCGCCACCTCCTGAACCCGATGTGAGGAATGGCATATGGCCGCGCCTCCAAGCAATCATCCGGTCGCCGACCACTCCACACCCAACTTCTCCTACACCCGGATCTCTCCATGAAGGTATCCACGACCAACAAGCGGCGGATTAAGGAATGTGTAAAAAGATGCACCCATGTCCAACCGCCACTCGTGCTCGTCTGCAAGATTCTCCACGAGCTTGAGGAATATATCACCCACTATATTGACAGTCGACATCGCCCAAGCATCCGGGATGAAGCTCCCCACCTTCTTCACCCGTAGCAGCACGTGCGACAATTGTCGCTTGCGGTAACCGAGTGCCATGTCAAGGTCCACCGCCGCCTTCCCGTTGACGTCCGCGGAGTGAAATCGGTACGACTTGAGGTCGATTTTCGGGCCGAACGCACTTGTGTCCTGGTGGAAGAACATGTCCAGCTCCCGTCGGCGCTCCCAACACATGATGCTCTCCCCTCACACAATCTCTCTCCATGCCAAACACGCTGCCATCTCTCTCTCTCTCTCTCTCTCTCTCTCAAGAGACAGGCCCAAGGTGGTCAGTGGGTTGAACCCAGGACCTC